GGCAGAAAGTTGCTGACAAATCAAACTCGTAGGTAATTTAATAATAATAATAATAATGGATTGGGTTTATATAGCGCTTTCCAAGGCACCCAAAGCGCTTTACGATACCACTATTCATTCACTCCCACATTCACACACTGGTGGAGGCAGCTACGGTTGTAGCCAGGCTGCCATATCGCGCCATCGGCCCCTCTGGCCAACACCAGTAGGCGGTAGGGTAGATCTATCATATGACACTATATTGTCCAATATCATATGGCATTATATTATATCATAATATGTTATATTATATCCCCTTTCACATTAGAGCCACAACAGGACCCACAAGAACATGGGAACAAGTAAAAGTGGAATACAGGAGTATTCTACAGAATGGTAATATTTATCTCTTAGATTGCTTTTCGTCTCTTGGCAAGGTAATACTGGCCTGTAATACTCTGTTAGTTTGTTCATAACAGCAACCAAGAAAAGGGCAGAGGAAAAAAAGACAGGTGGTGGTCCTGCACCCCCTCGTCAACAAGTTGGTTAAGTAATAATACCCTCACGGGAATATCGATATCTCTCATGAGCACACTGTCGCGCTGAGCTAAAGGATCCTGTCTTCCCGCAATATACGCTGAATTCTGAGGACTCTCCTTATCAATCTTGCACCTTCCGCAATGGGTGGCTCGCGTATACGGACAGGACATGGCTGCGACAGGCTTCCCAAATCCACCTTCGCTTTTATAGCCGTGGTCTCTCATCTTGATTACACGAAGTAATTTACAATTACTACTCTGAAATATGAATTACATCTGTAATAATCACATACATGTAATAGAATGTTAATAGTTCATTTCCCTTTTTTAGGAAATGACCTGTATGTATCTGTGTGACATCAATACAAGGATCAAGTGCTGCATTATCTTTAGTTACATTGATGTTATTTATTTATGGTGAAACAGTGGTGGAATATCGCTGTTGCTTTCGTATAAATGAAGCGGACATACCTGCGTGGCCGCGATCTAATCCTGTTTACATAAAGTAAACCTGCTCCCGAGCAGGTTTACGCTTACGGCTCTGTTGCTATGACAGCAAGTCCCGGATGAGCTTCGGGGAACCGAACGATCCAGGATCATCGCGAAATCGTCAACAATCTAATCCAGCTAACTTACTTAGCGAGGTACGAAGAACAGGCCCCTGGACTGCGCTGTGCACATTGAAGAGAACGGCAACCTCAACATCGAAGTTTACCGGAAGCCCACACACACGGACCAGTACCTCCTCTTTGACTCCCATCACCCTCTGGAACACAAACTTGGAGTAATTAGGACCCTACACCACCGGGCAGAACATGTTCCCTCTAAGCCTGAAGGGAAAAAGAAGGAACACACACATGTAAAGGAAGCACTCAAAACATGCGGCTATCCTAAATGGGCGTTCTTAAAGTCAGCAAAGAGGCACAGAAAAGAAGACAGACACCAGCGAGGGAGGATAAGAAGGACAGACGCAACAACATTGTCATCCCCTATGTAGCCGGTGTATCAGAAGAAACTCAGGAGAGTTTTCTCCAAGCATGACATCCCGGTGCATTTCAGACCCAGCAACACACTCAGACAAAAACTGGTTCACCCGAAAGACAAAACTCCAAAACACAGACTTAACAATGTGGTGTATGCTGTACAGTGCAGCGAGGAATGCCCAGACCTCTACATTGGAGAGACCAAACAGCCACTTCACAAGCGCATGGCACAACATAGAAGAGCCACCTCCACAGGACAAGACTCAGCAGTCCATCTGCATCTAAGGATAAAGGCACTCTTTCGAGGATGCCAATGTTCACATTTTGGACAGAGAGAGACAGATGGTTTGAAAGAGGAATGAAAAAGCCATCTATGTCCACTGTGAGCGACCATCTTTGAACAGAGGCAGTGGTTTACGACACCAACTGTCTGCCATCTATAATCCAGTTTTGAGTCCCTTCCCAGACGCCTTAACGCCCACTCACATCCTGGGCCATCTGACCTCAGGAAATCGCATGATAAGGTGGGGCCAGGTTTCACAATGAGCTCACCCGAAACTCTGGCTGATTGTGACCCACACCCATTTTCACACCTTGACTCATGTGATTAGATGATTATCAGGGGGTCCTTTTTTCCCCTCTTTGGGGGGATATTCCCACTGGGTTTAAATCTGGGACTCTCCACCATTTGACCTTAGAACTGAAGAAGCTTCTCGGATGAGAGGTGAAACGTCTTCAAGCAACTTAAAGAAGTCCAGACACCTTTCTTTGCAAGCTCCTTTGACTGCTCTGCACTCACTTATCTCTTCAAACAAAGTTGACATCTTGTTGTGTGAATGTCACCATTCCATCAGTCTCAACCACTCAGTTGCAAACCCATCTGTACCACATTTCCTCTCCAGCAAGAAGCATCTTCAGACATTTGCTTCAGTTATCATTTGCTTCCATCTAGTGGCTCTCTTCCTGTAACCCAGCATCTACAGATAACAGAAATACATATGACTGGATGTGGGTAAGCTGTTCACTTCAGGGTCAGCTGAACAAATCTTCAGTTGTTGCGGCATTGTTTTTATTTGTCTGGGTTTTGAGTTACTGAGTCAGATTTCTCACTTTAATGTTTAAAATGCTTTTCACTCTACAGACATCTCAATGTGAACTGCCAAAAGTCTATTTGATAATGTTTTTAGGTTTGTTTATTATGTAAGATGCTACTTAATAAAATGACTATACACTACATCCTTTCAAAACTGAGGCAAACAATATGCTACAAAACCATGTCTGGGTTTTGATACCCTCTCCAACCTCCACCCGGAGAGGGTAGAGTGCCCACTCTGGGTCAGGTTTGAGTTCCTGCCCAAGTAGAGGAGTTTAAGTATCTCAGGGTCTTGTTCGCGAGTGACAGGAGAAGGGAGCGGGAGATAGACAGCAGGATTGGAGAAATTGCAAATACAAGCAGCGGAAATGGGCTTCTTCCCAAGGGTAATTCAGCCATCTGGGAGGGGCTCAGAGTAGAGCCGCTGCTCCTCCACATCGGAAGGAGCCTGTTGAGGTGGTTCAGGCATCTGATAAGGATGCCTCCTGGGCTTCTCTTGAGTGAGGTGTTCTGGGAATGTTCCACCTGGAGGAGGTTCCAAGGCAGACCTAGGACAAACTGAAGAGATCATATCTCTTATTTGGCTGGCCTGGGGACACCTTGGTGCCAAATAAGCTGGAGGAGGTGGCCGGGGAGAGGGAGGTCTGGGCTTCTCTGCTTAACTTGCTGCCCCCACGACCTGGCCCTGGATAAGCTGAAGAAGATGGATGGATGGATGATTTTGATATACTGAGTTAGATTTTTCATTCTCCCATTAAAAGTAATCTCAACACTGTTTGATCACATTAAACAGCAAAAAAAAGGGTCATTTTAATACACCGCCACACCACTTTTGCTCCAGAGCTCTTGGAATACTGTACATTAAAATTGGATTTAGAGGACAATAAAACAAGAAGTTAAAGAGACAAGTGAGCTATTCATAGATAAGCTGATTGTTTATTTAACGTTTAACCTCAACCGTCAAGCTATGTACAGGAGTTGCCTCATGGTCAGGTGATCAAGTTCTGCCAAGTGATCGTGGACTGCTGTTAGCTTCTTCAGCAATGTGCTAGTATTGTCTCAATTGACCGACTAACATTAGCTTTCCTGATTCTTCTTCACCACAGGGGCTTTCTTTACTTGCATCCTTGATCTCATACCTGAGACGAGGCAGTTGCTTTATCCTTAGCTCAGCAGATGCTCAGTTAAAATGCTGTTTTCTACCAGAGTTGGCTTATCGTGTCCATGCATCTCACTATTGTTCCCATTGTGCTGGCTGTAGTCTCTGGATCTCTTGCTTTGATTGCACCAGGTGCCAGGTACTTCTCGGTCAGTGTGGATATTGGTCGTCTGTTAATTCATAACTACTCATGGGTTTGGATGCCACAGTACACTTTTTATCAATATGTCCTGGTTCCACAAGAGGGCATACTGATGAAAAGTGGCCTTGTTGAGACAGGTGATGTCCGAGCTGTTATTACTTTAGTCGTGTATCTCTTGCTCTTCCAAGGTGTGTGGGGGTGTGTGCATGTGTGTGTGTGTGTTGATTTTCCTTCTCACAAAGTGACTTTGTTGCTCAAATGAAATATCACATAGGATCATAAATGTATTATAAATCCTACAGACTCAAGGGACACAATAATCTTATAACACTTGTTTTTAGCATGTTTTTGCCAGATAACTATTGTAGAGGTTAAAATTTAAGAGAAAAATATAAGTAGACCTTTCTTCCAAAAAGGCTAAAACAAAACTTTGACAATTGTAGATGCATGTTGTATACAATGCACTTTAATAAAACTAACTTAAAAGAGAGAAGTGAAATGAACATGTGATTTTCCCCAAAGGAGGAGGCTTTGATATATAATACAAGGTTAGCTAAATATGATAAATAAGGCCCAGTTTTGCAGATGATGACAGATTCACGTGCTTGCCCATCTGCAGTGGAGTTTGTTTATGTTCTAATTTTCTTTCTTCAGTCAATTGCCATGGGTAGGAAGAGGAAAACATCAGCCTTAAAGTCAGCTGTGTACACTTGAACACCACATGCAGTCTAACCTTTTTTTTCCCCATTTATACACAAACAGCCATGGAGTCCGCTCCACTTACATATCCCTCCTTTTGGGCAACACATGCACCCTTTGTTGATTTCACATTCCAGAGTGGCTTACATTTAGCTCTTAGTGCTGTATTGAAAGAATATTACACTGTAGCTCTTTTTAACTTTGGTCTGCTAATATAAGCAAACATACAACATTGTCAAAATCTTAAGTAGTGACTCTGTGTTATTATATGTTTTCCATTTGTCTTTGTGACAAAGTTGGAGTCTTATAACACCAAAACAATCAATCAAGATCGGCCGGTGCGCCGAAAGAAGAAAGAAAATCAATCTGGAAACTTTAGAGCAGATAAAGACAACACATCACTTACCCCAAATGCAGGATTGTCTGTCCCCTGGTCATTGAGTCCAAGCTCTATTGTTTCTTCAGTCGTGAGATGCATTGTGGTAAATCAGGCAAGGTGTTGTAAACTCCGCATAAATACAAAAACACACAAGGTGGGAGTAAATCTCTAACTGAGCACAGAAATAAAAGGGACAACATTAATAACCCATTTCCCTAGTTTCGCTAGGAATGCTGACTATCGCAGTCAGAAAGAGAACGGCTTAGTTATTTTGTAATCTCCTCTTTGGCTCTGAAAACTTTCTGGGCTGCTGCTGGGTGAGTGTGAGCTCTAGTTACTCTGACTTTGGGTCATGTGCCTGCTGTTGTGTGATGATGGACCTATTGAGAATAGCGAAGCAAGTTTGTCACATGCATCTTTATTTACACATGAATCATACTGTTATCAAATATTTGCAGGTGAAATATTTAAGGAATTTAACAAAGTGGCAGATATCAGCTTTTGATGTTCATCTTTGGATTGGATCCATGGATACCATGTTTCCACTTGACACATTACGATACCCGACACTAATTGCAGCTGTATTAAAATAAATCACAAATCATTGTATTTTGCTCACTGCACTGAGGCAAAAACTTAATTTAAAAAAACTTTTGAAACTTACTGTGACGCACAATCATCTTTCCTTATAAGCAATATATTTTATTTTCTCCTAGAATTGTTTTTTTGTGGTCTATTAATTTGCAACAGCTCAGTGATAAAGAGATTGACCTCGAGTGCTATAATGAGCAAACTAGTTCAAAGACGTTACATAATTATGCATTTTACGTCCAACATGGAAAAATGAAGTGCTCACACAACAATAAAGCATTTCAGAAGCTTAAATGCAGATTTCTGTATATCTCCTATAGAAACCTTGCCTTCTTTAACTAAACACCTTATAACTAGACTTGATTCTGCATTTCTCATTGTAACAGTGCTTAACAAATTTATTTGACCACCTCTTGTAAAACAAGAAAACTTAAACGTTTTAGAAATCTGTCTAAACCTTCTTTAAAACTAAAACTAATATTGTTATTTATTAGGGAAAACAATAAACTGGAAAATTAATTAATCACCCATAACATTCAACCACTAAAGTTATTTCTTTTTGTTTTTTGTTATGCAGAAGCCAGACAACACACACCATCCAGCAATCCATCCATCTTCTTCCACTTATCGGGAGCTGGGTCACGGGGGCAGCAGCCTAAGCAGAGAAACCTAGACCTCCCTCTCCCCAGCCACCTCCTCCAGTTTGTCCAGGGTAACACCAAGGGTTTCCCAGGCCAACTAAGAGATATAATCTCACCAGTGTGTCCTGGCTCTACCCTGGGGCCTCATCCCGGTGGGACATACCCAGAACAGAAGCATCCTTGTCAGATGCTCGAACCTCCTCAATTGGCTCCTTTCGATGTGGCAGAGCCGCTCTAGAGTACTTTGAGCTCTACTCTGGCAGACTCCCTAATGGAGAGGCCAGCCACCCTTTGGAGAAAGCTAATTCCTGCTGCTTGTATCCATGTCACTACCCAAGGCTTGTGACCATAGATGAGCTTGGGGATGTAAATTGACTGGGAGAGGAGCTTTGCCTTTATGCTCAGCTCTGTCTTCACCACGATGGACTGGTACTATGTCCGTATCACTGCAGCCACAGCACCAGCTCTCATCTCCCCTCACTCATGAACAAGACACCAAGATACTTAAACTCCTCCACTTGGGGCAGTAGCTCATCCCTGACCCAGAGTGGGCACACCACCCTTTTTTGGTGAGGATCTTGGCCTCAGACCTGGAGGTGCTGATTCTCATTCCGGCCACATCACATTCGGCTGCGAACCGCTCCAGTACGAGCTGGAGTCCACCACCTGATGAAGCCAACAGAACCACATCATCCACGAAAAACAGAGAGGATATTCAGAGAGTGGCCAAGTGGAAGCCTCCCACCACCTAGACATGCTTTAAAATTGTGCAATAAAAATTGTCACTTATTTTGTTCACAAAAAAATTGTGAACAGAATAAGTTAGTAAATTTGGGAGACAAACATCCTCTCTAATTTTACAAAGCATATATTTACAGCTGGATCAGATGACCCTGCAATAAAAAATATGTGCAGGTTTCTAATTATATTGCCCAAGGGAAGCATTTAGAATATAAAATGCATCGATGTCACCACTGAACCCTGTGGAACCCTGTGACTAACTGTTGTGTGTGAGCAAGACTCTATTTACATGCATATACTGGAATCGATTAGATTGATATGATACAAACCATTGCAGTGCAGTTCCATTAGTACCAATGGTGTTTTAATCTCTGTAATAAAACTCTGTAGTATACTGTGGTCAGCAGTATTGAACGTTGCCCTGAGGTCTAGTAGAACAACCACAGAGATGACTCCACTGACAGAGGCCATAAGTGATCATTCATATCCTTCACTATTGCTGTTTCTGTTCTATAATATACTATAAATCCTGATTGAATAAACCATTCATTAATGTTGCTGTAATTAATGGCATCTGTGGAACTAATGTGAATTTTTTTTATGGTTTTTCTAATGGTTAAGATTTTATTGTTGTTGCTAGTTAAACTTGGCTACCTAAGGTTATTCTACGGTGGCTGGGAAGTGCAAATCGCAACAAATTAAAAAACCACAACAAATTAAAAACCCCACAACAAATTACAAAAACCTGCAACAAATTACAAAAACCCACAACAAATTACAAAAACCCACAACAAATTAAAAACCCCACAACAAATTAAAAAACCTGCAACAAATTACAAAAACCCACAGCAAATTAAAAATCCTTGACGGAAAGGGATTGTCTGAAATACCGGAAGTGACGCAACAATTAGCCTAATAGGGCTTTTGGAGGGTGATGTCACGAGAGGGGGCGTGGCCATGATTTTTGGTTGAGGCCATGTTTCTGGGCCAAACAAAGCGCTAGCGAAAGAGGAGCGAAAGAGGAGCGAAAGTACACGGATAACACCAGCTATGGTTTGTACTTGCTGTGCGGTCGGTTTTAAAGTTAGATTGCACGACCGGCAAGGAAATAGTTGAAAATGGTTTATCTTTTCATTCTTTCCCCACCTGGACGCAACATGAGGCAGCTCTTGCATCAGATGTTACTAAAAGAATGCATCTAGTCTGAATAGCAGCTGTAAGACCAGCTGATATCCAGTTCTCTTCCATCTCCAAATATCTGTTGGTGTGCTCCAGACATTTTCATTCCGGTAAATTATAGATATGTTCATATCACTCTTTATCCGGTCTTTAAGTCTGACGTCACTAGCATGGGCTCAAATGGCTGCTGCAGGTCCATAAATCACTGAGAGTTGAAAAACTATCTAAAGTCTTTCATCTGTAATAAAATGATCAGCGTTCTGCTCTACCATGTGTAACAATTGAGTTTATCATCCAGGCAACCATGAAAACAAAACGGAATTTATGACATTTAACAGAGTTAGAAATTAGCAGGAAGTTAGCTCGCTAGCTTCCATCTAAATGAGGGATTTTGGAAACAAATTCAAACGTACAGCTCTGCTATCACTTCCAACAAAAATGAAGGCAGAAAACTAAACAGCAGTGACGTTTTCTAGGGTTACTGAAGGTTGGCTAGCTGGTATATAACGATGTGCTACGTGACCGCTAGCGACACAGCTATGTTAGCATAATATAAACAGGCTAACTTTTTTCCACTTGATAAAAGTTATCGTGAGGATTCTCGGTGGTCTGGAACAAATATAATCTCATGGCAGGATGCTGTGAACGGACCAAACTTCAGCCAGGAGAACAACTGAGATAATTCATCCACAAGGATGTATAGGATTCACACTGCTGACTCATGACTGTGTAGCAACACACAGTTCAAATCACATCATTAAGTTCGCTGATGACACGACCGTGGTGGGTCTCATTAGCAAGAACGACGAGTCAGCGTACAG